CCCCCCTTTCCAACTGTGTTCCTGATGAAAGGATGGTGGGAAATGCCATTATGGGGCTATCTCTTACAGTACACAGTGTTTAACCTGTTCCCTCTACCAGATCTGGATGTTCTTTCATCTTTCATCTTCTAGACTTACTAGCTCTTTTTCTTAAGCCAGGTGTAACTCATCCCCCTGCTCACACACACATGCGTACACACACACACATACACACACACATTCTGCCATAGGGAGTAGCGTGCACCATCCCATTCTCCCACTCCAGCTCTGGACCCACCCCCTGGAGGCAGTGTCTTGCACAAATTCATTTGTAAGTTCTTTTTTAAAACTTGAGTGGTCGGGAAATAGGACTGATATCCACACTTAGTAGGCAGGCCCTTAAGGATAACTTCTATGGTTAATGCCAGGTTATCTTAATGTTTGAGTACCTGGGTTTCATGTCTTCCTGTACCACCAGTGTGACCCATGATTCCCACATTTCTGTCCCCCCCCTAGACTTTCTCTCCAACTCTGGACTCTTACAATCTTCTGCTGATTTGACATCTTCACTTGGAACTCTGATATCTTAAAACCAACATGTGTAAAAACTGAGCTCTTGGTCCTCCTACTCCCCAAACTGTTTCTTTCTGCAGCCTCCCCCATTCAGTTAGTGGAAACTTAATCCTTCCAGCTGCTTGGGTCAAAAAACTTGGAGTTATTCTGACTCTCACTGACACACCACATGCATTCTGTCAACAGATCTGGTTTAACACTGCCTTTAAAACATATCCAGAACCCAGCCACTTCTCACCATGGTTTCTGCCTCCACTGCTGCTTCCCTGCCCTGAGCCACTGTCCTCTCCTCCTGCACAGTCCTTCTTAGTGGCTTCCCTCCTTTCATCTCTGACCCGTTTTGATTATTTTCACCTGGCAGTCAAGTGAGCCTTTGAAAACCTAAGTTAGATTGTGTCATCTTTCTGCAGTGCCTCCCCATTTCACTCTGGATAAAAGCCACAGTCCTTACAACGTCCTCCAAGTCCCTACAGGAGCTGCACTGACCCTTCTCTGCAGCTCCAGCCGTGCCCCCATTCTGGATCATGCAAAGTGCATGCTGGCCTTGGTGATGGTTATTCCGTCCACCTGGGACTTCTCACCTCCTAGTCCTAGTTCTAACCTCAGTCCTCAGTGTGGCCTGCTATGGTATTTAATACAACATCATCCTCATCCCATAGCTTCAACTCTATTTACCTTGCCCTTTTTTCTTTTTTCCATGGTTCCTCTTTCCTAACATGCCACCTCCTCTGCTGCTCTGTTGTGTGAATTGTCATCTCCACCCCCCACCCCAGCTAGACTCCAACCAAGCTTCATGAGGACAGGACTTTTG